TCAGCTTGTTTGTTTCCTTGCAGACATTTTATGACCCAACTAGGTAACATCATCAGTGCCAGAAGGGGGTGGAGTTTGTGGAGAGGAAAAGGAGGACTGTGGAGTCCTTGATGCTCTCTCTGAGCTTGGTTGTTTTCTTGCAGACCTCTGATCACTCAGCTAGGTAGCATCATCTGTGCTGGCTATTCTAGAACTTTTTCCGTCTTTTTTTTTCTCTCTCTCTCTAAAGTGCCTGGGAAGCCCGTAGTCTATCCACCTTCTCTATACAATCACATCCACTCCCTTTAAAAACGTTGCAAGATGACTTGGAATCCATTGCTCCTTTCCAAGGTTGCTGTGGGTCACGTGATACTAAGGGTGGAGGCAACACGGAGGGGGTGGTCTTTGAGAAAAAGTAGGGTAGATAACTGCTCTCAAATCACGTCATTATCTGGCTATGACTTATTCAGCAAATGCCTGTCACCCAGAGCAGGGAGCAATGATAAATTGTTTTCTAAACCTGGCTTCTTTAAAAAAAAACAAAAAAAAACCTCACTCAAAACAAACCCTGGCTTTGTTCAATGCCTGAACCCAGTTTGTTCCTGTGCGGCAGGAAAGCCAAGATGCATCCTTCATTTCGACCATCACCCTCTCCTCTCCGGGTGATTAATTAACAGTCAGGAACAGAAGAATCCAGCTCCCAGAATGGCTCAGATCTTGGCTATTCTTTTAAGGATGCAACAGTTAATATTGGCTGGGCTGTGCGAAGAAGGAGGTTGTGTTTCCCCATCACGCCAGCCTTCTGCAAAATGAATGGCTGTAATTGAAAAAGCAAGGCACTACACACACACACAGAGAGAGAGAGAGAGAGAGAGAGAGAGAGAGAGAGAGAGAGAGAGAGAGAGAGAGAGAGAGAGAGAGAGAGAGAGAGAGAGAGAGAGAGAGAGAGAGAGAGTTAGTTTACAGAAAGAGGTGTTGTCAAGAGCGGAGCCCCCCCTCCCCATTCTCACATCCTTTACAGGCTAAGCTTCTATTGTGTGTCCTTGCGAGCTAATTTCTTCCCTGATCAAAAATCCCCCCCACACACACTTTTTCTGAAAATGTAGTAATAACTAATTCATCCCCCTGGGCCTGCCATTCTGTAGCTTTTCCTTTATTTACCAAATTGTTATGTCTGCCTCTGCTTTTCCTCTCTGGAAAGAGAAAGGAAGAAAGAGAAAGAGAAAGAAAGAAAGAGAGAGAGAGAGAGGGAGGGAGGGAGGGAGGGAGGGAAGGAAGGAAGGAAGGAAGGAAGGAAGGAAGGAAGGAAGGAAGGAAGGAAGGAAGGAAGGAAGGAAGGAAGGACATTTTCTCCAGATGTTAGATACTTTCTGGAGCACTTAAAGTTGTGAGAAGTCCTTGACACTCTCTGAGCTTGGTTGTTTTCTTGCGGATGTTTCATTGCCCAACTAGGTAACATTAACAATGCTAGTCCCTGGGATCACACATCATTAGGACCAGCACTGATGACATTACCTAACTGGGTCGTGAAACGTCTGCATTTCAGCCCTGAGCTACAAATATTCTCCTTTATTGGTACTTAAAGTTGTGTCCTTGCCTAGAAACGAATGGGGTGGGGTGACCTTGAAGTTCTCTTCCTGAAATGGGAAGGTAATTTCCTCCCACTTTGAATGGACTTGAATGGCTGATGGGTCCTTGTTTGAGACAATGTCAACTCAGTAAGTCAATACTTTCGATTTCTGTGGACCAAGCTGGTCTCCCGATCCAAGAATGAACCTGTCAGAATAATAAGGCCAGCTTTATTATCCCAAAGGGGCTTTTTCAAAAGACACACTGGGCGTTAGTTTTTCCTTGAAGACGTTTCGCTTCTCGTCCAAGAAGCTTCTTCAGTTCTGACTTGGCTAGAAAGAAATATTTCTTCCCCACAATACTCTTGTTGTTATTCCCATATTTTAAAAAAAACTAAACCTCCAATAACTCATCATCTACTTTCAATCCACTTCCACATCCAGGGACTAATTCTCACCCAGGACCCTCCCAAGGCTGCTACCTTTCTAGCTGCAAGTATTTAGCTCCCATCTCTGATTATTCATCCCTTCCAGCCAGGAGCCTGTTTTCCAGGACTCCATGCCTTTTGTCAGAGGGGCTGAACTTTGCCTGAAGCTTATTCCAAAGAGGGCTGTTCCTTTGAAGTTATTTTAGTGGTCTTTCTCTTGGGAAGAGTCCGGGTTTTTTTTTTTTATAAAAAAAACAAAATATTAAAAATTGGAAGCAACTACAGGTAGTCAAGTGACAACAGTTTACTTAGTGACCGTTCAGAGTTGTTCAAACTCCCAGGGCCCAACTCCCAAGTGGGGAGAGGGGGCGATAGGTGCTAGCTGTAAGCGGCCCCGCTGGAAAGGAGAGACACGCGTCTTTTCGCCTTGGATCACATCCCCACGTGTTTCCTAACCGCGACCCCTCAGCCTGCCCGCTCCTACTCCTAATTTTCTCTGATGCTCCTTTCCGCTTTCCGAGATAACCCTTCTCACGCAACCCTCCCCCCCCCCGATTAAATAAACCCCCGGGCGAAATTCCCAGCTATCATTCCGCTAAATGAATTTTCCCGGCGAACTGATAAACCACAGGGCATAAAAAAAAAAGAATCCCGAACGAATAAACGACACGCTCTTGTTTTGCTAGCCTCAACTCTTCCCTCCCTTCAATATTCTCTCCTTGTGTTGCGGGGTGGGGGTGGGGGAAAGATCGTGAGAAGGGCTCCGTGTCGCTCCAAACACCGCTTAGTTGAATCCTGGCTTGTTGGAATGGGGGGGGGGGGAAANCCAACCCCATCCGGGGCCCTCTGCTGCCCCCTCTCTGCTGCTGCGTTTTGGGGAGGGGGGAAGCGTCGGAGGGAGCCAGCGGCTTTTCTCAAAGTTTGCAGGTTTGGCCTGGGGGGTGGGGGGAGCCTGGTCCTGCGTCGGGGGTGGGTGTGGGGGGGGGAAGGGTGCTGCGCTTTGATTGGTCGCCACCTCCTCATTTATAGGCCGTCAATCAAACGGCACGGCGAGAAGGCCGTTGCTGGGCTGTGGGGGAGGGGGCGGCTGACTGGCTGGTTGGCCGGACTGAGTTTTTGGGCACCGTCGGAAGAGCCAGCCAGAGTCGCCGCAGCCGGGCCGGCCTGCCTCGTTGGTTGCCGAGAAGCGGAGACCGGAGCGGCGGACCCCTACCCGATTTTTTTTTCTTTTCCCTGCGGGGCTTTTCTCGTGGACTCGCCTTCCCTCCCACTGGCCGCCACGCTGGCGCATCTCCTGCCCGCCCCGGCGATGTACAGCTTGCTGGAGACGGAGCTCAAGCCGCCCCAGGCCAACCCCGGCGGCGGAGGCGGCAACGGGGGTCCCGGGAGCGCCGTCAAAGGAGGAGGAGGAGGAGGAGGCGTCGGAGGCGTCGGCGGGGCCAACGCGGCCGGCCCGGACCAGGACCGGGTCAAGCGTCCCATGAACGCCTTCATGGTGTGGTCGCGGGGCCAGCGTCGCAAGATGGCCCAGGAGAACCCCAAGATGCACAACTCGGAGATCTCCAAGCGGCTGGGCGCCGACTGGAAGCTGCTGAGCGACGCCGAGAAGCGGCCCTTCATCGACGAGGCCAAGCGGCTGCGCGCCGTCCACATGAAGGAGTATCCGGATTACAAGTACCGGCCCCGTCGCAAGACCAAGACGCTGCTCAAGAAGGACAAGTACGCGCTGCCGGGGAACCTGCTGGCCCCGAGCGGCGGTCCCGGGGGCGGAGGAGGCGGCGGCGGGGTGGGCGGCGGCGGGGTGGGCAGCCCGGTGGGCGTCGGGCAGCGCCTGGACTCGTACGCGCACGTGAACGGCTGGCCCAACGGCGCGTACGCGGCCGCCGCCGCCGCCTCGCTGATGCCCGACCAGCTGGGCTACGGGCAGCACCCGGCCATGAGCAACGCGCAGCTCCAGTCGCTCCACCGCTACGACGTGAGCGGCCTCCAGTACAGCCCCATCATGTCCGGGGCGCAGCCTTACATGACGGCCGCCGCCGCTTCCAGCTACAGCATGGCCGCCGCCGCCGCCGCCGCCTACGGCCAGCCGCCGCCGCCGTCGAGCCACGCCATGAGCTTGGGGACTATGAGCTCGGTGGTCAAGGCCGAGCCCAGCTCGCCGCCGCCGGCCATCGCCTCGCACTCGCAGCGGGCCTGCCTGGGGGACCTGCGCGACATGATCAGCATGTACCTGCCGCCCGGCGGAGACGCGGCCGACCCGTCCAGCCTGCAGAGCGGAGGACGCCTCCACGGCGCCCACCAGCACTACCACCAGAGCCCCGCCGGGCCGGCTGTCAACGGCACCGTCCCACTGACTCATATCTGAGAGCGCCCGCCGCCATCCCACCCTCCCCGAGCCTGCCTGCCTCCGCGGCCGCCCCGTCGAGGCTTCCCGCCGCGGCGCTGCCAGGTTCCCGGCTTGCCCGCGCAGGGAGACTCCGCCGACGCCGTCTTTCGAGGAGACCCCCAACCAACCCACCCACCCACCCATCCACCCCTCCAGCCCCGGCTGCTTTTTCCCGCCTGCGGAGAGCCACGTCGGGCAGAAAAAGGAACTTTTCCCTCCCTTTGGGTTGGTTTTTTCTCCCGACCGCGAAACAAAACATGACATTTCTTGTCTGGCTATCCTAGAAGCACCGATTGACTGTGTTTTTTTTTAAGAAAAACATTTTTTTTGCAAAAGGCGCTGTGAAATTGCTCTGTTCTCCCCTCCCTCTCCTCTCCTCCCCTCCCCTCCCCCGTCGACCCTTTTCTGTTTCCAGCACTCCACGGGAGGTTTTTCTCGGGTGGGGGGAGGGAGGGGAGGAAAGGATTATTCGGAGGAGAGCCGACATCTTGCTTATTGGACCTTTTCTTTTTTTTTTTATGTTGCTGGTTTCCGAGGCCCTTGAAAAGGTTTGAAAAAGGAGGAAGGGTGGGGCGGGGGGGCAGGGAAAGCCAGACTTTTAGAAAGAGGGGAGGTCGGTTAACCTTCCTCGTGAAATGTTTACATGTTTTTTTATTTCCTCGGGTGGAGTCGTTCGTTCCCTCCCCTTGTCCCCTCCCTCCTTCCTTCCTTCCCTTCTCTCCGACTTCCCCAAATAATCCCGTCTGGATTCTTAAATTTTTTTAAAATATATATATATATAATAATAAAAAAAATTCTGTACGGCTTCTCTCGTTTTCCTAACCCGGGTGATTTACCCAGGCCACGCAGGGGGGGTTTACGGTTTAAGATGAAGCGGAAAGAAAGCCCGCTATTTTGAGCGAGGGGTCTCGGTTGGAGGGTGTGTGGGGGGGGGTCTCTCCGCTTGGTCCTGGCTCGGCTTACTTCGGAGGAAAGGAAGGTTGGGAGATCGGACGGCCGCCTCTGGGTGGCGCGATCCTTGGAGGTCGC